TAGAGACTGGTTGATAACATGGAGCTGGATGCACATTATTTATTCTAGAGACTGGTTGATAACATGGAGCTGGATGCACACTATTTTATCTAGAGACTGGTTGATAACATGGAGCTGGATGCTCATTATTTATTCTAGAGACTGGTTGATAACATGGAGCTGGATGCACATTATTTATTCTAGAGACTGGTTGATAACATGGAGCTGGATGCACATTATTTTATCTAGAGACTGGTTGATAACATGGAGCTGGATGCACATTATTTTATCTAGAGACTGGTTGATAACATGGAGCTGGATGCACATTATTTTATCTAGAGACTGGTTGATAACATGGAGCTGGATGCACATTATTTTATCTAGAGACTGGTTGATAACACTGTTACAAGCCATATTGAGTAGTCACAGTGACATTATGGGTAGTGTAATTGCTGTCTGATCCTGGGTTGTATTAAAATCCTGTAGATTAGAGTTTTTTACCCTTGCACAACTGGAATAATTGGGGTTGGGTAATTATTAGTGTATTTTGTTCTATTCAGGCAACATGCTAATATTCTAACCCCTTTTATCTCCATTTGGGGGTGTTTATTTTTTTATTTTTTTTTAAACAATGGATCTACATGATGGCACATGGGTAGTAATCCATAAGTACACCGTCTTCTTATAACTCAAGTCCGAAGGAGCTCAGCACAGTGCACAGGCTCTGTATCACCAGGCGAGGATCCTGAAATACTTTGGGTAGATTTTTAACTCCAGAATTTGCCTGGGAAACGTCGTTAGGCTACTCTTTTTGATTTAGAAGTCCATGTCCTGGTGAAAAAATCCCAGCCCTTACCGGGGATTGAACCCGGATCCTCTAGCACTTGAGGTGGACACCATGGCGTAACACCACGCAGCCCCTACAATTTGTAGCAACACAATGTTTGAGTTCTTCAGTTATATGACAAAGAAGATGGTGCCATACTGAATCCATCCTGAGAAGAAATGAGAAAAGAATCACCGAACATTCACTGAAATGTGAAGTAAAGCGATTGAGGAAGCAAAAAGGTCCAAAAGAAACCCTAAGAAGAATGTTGATGAGAGAGGCCAAAGAGCTGGACTGGATTCCATCCATGATATCAACAGGACAACGATGCGGGTGATGAAATTGTGAGTTCTAGGTAGGCTTAAAAATGTGGTATTTTGAGCTGAAATGCTATAGAAAGATTCTCAGAATACCAAGGGCGAGGTAGAAAAGAAAACCTGACGTTTTAAAAGATCAGAACATCAGGAAGATTGGCTCATAAACAGCATCCTTACTCAGAAGCTGACATATTTTGGTCCTATCAAGCGCCATGGTGGACGAAAAAATAATGACAGAAGACATGGTATCAGGAAGGAGGGACAGGGGCCGACCAACACGAAGATGGGTGCAGGATATAAGCGACTCCTTGAATAGGAAAGTACACGAGGTGGGAGAGCTAGCGAGACGCCGAGTTTCTTAATGAGTTGTATTTGGGACAGTCTTGGCGGATGTGATTTGTTGTCTCAGGGGCTAGTCCACATGTGCACATGGCTGATTCACAAATATTAAATGTTGTTGTGTACATGTGGCTGCAAAGTCGAAAATGCCCTCTTCTGAGGTTGTGAAACAAACTGTAGGATATGCCACATGATAGGATGATGTGGAATGTTTTGGCTTTGGACTAGTTCTACCAAGAGTGATAAAAAGCAAAAGAATCAATCAGTTGGGAAATACATCTGTCAGCGGGTGCCATTTTATATCTTCTGACTTCCCTGAAATGGTGAAGCTGATATTAGAACATGTTCACTGTTAGCTTTTATGTGTTCTTTCTGAAAAGTTATAATGTATTAGCGTGGCACTGTTTTAGCACAAATTGTTTGGCTTTTCCTTGGCATATCTCTATGTTGTGAGCAGTCAGCTAAATACACATTTATTGTACAATTGTGTTAGTAGTTTAGTTACTGTTGTGCTTCAAAGTGTTAAATACACATTTATTGTACATTTGTGTAAATAGTTTGCCTAGTTTAAGTATTTTGCTTCAAGGTGACAGCCAGTTAAATACACATTTATTGTGCAGTTGTATCAATAGTGTGCCTATTTTAACGATGTTGTTGTTCAAAGTGCTTTGTCATTGTATACAAATTATTTGTTTCATATATGTGTGTGAGTTATGTAAACACAATAGTGAAGACTTTTTTTTCTCTATTTTTTAATTGCAATAAGGAAAAATTTGTTATCTGTACATAAATTGTCTAATATGTAATTATAAAGATGATTTGTTTTAATTTGAACACATATTTTATCATCTTGCCACTGAAACACTACAGTATCAATTCTTGTACGTAATTGTACATTACCGGTCTTCTATTCCACGGGACACAATTTGTTGTTATTTTGAAGCCCCACAGAGTCCCAAAGGGCAGCTGTCATCAGCGCTGTATGGACTAGGTAGGGAGAGAACGTTGAATCTCTGCGCTAACACGCCTCTATGACCAAAGTGTTAAGCTTGGTGAAGCATGTCAGTGCTGTCTTTTGAGGTAAAAACAGGAGATATTATAACCAGATCCTCATGTGAACAGTCAGTAGAGGTACCTTGGAGTGGCTGCTGCATTGGAGGAGTGAGCGTGCATGGAGATGCCTAATGTGCGAAAACATTGATTGTGATAAGATAAGATAACAAAGAAAAATAAACTATGAATACTTTATTTTATTATTGGATGACTGGCTGCCAGTTGCAAAGTCTTGAGTTTGAATATGCATTGGGGTGGATCTTTATGAAATGACTTTAGCTCCTTGATAACCCAACCTAAAATGAGTACTGGGAAATTTCCTGGGGAAGTAAAGGTGGCTAGATTGATTTTGACCATTTCACCCACCAAGTGCTGCCGATTTGTCTATAAAATTATTATTCTGGCATAGTATGCACAATTCCCTAATGGTGTGAACAGTGTTTGTTGTCATTAGAGGTCATATATGTCTTTGTGTATGCAAGTAGAGCTGCTATCTGTTGCATTAGAACAAAATGTTTCTATGTGTAAATGGCATCCGTTTCACTGACCATAATTTAAAAAGAAAAAAAAAAACAATAAAGAAACAACTCCCCCTCCCCTTTTCCCTCCCCAAAGTGTATTATCAATATATTGATCAGTTTGTCTCCTCCAGGCGCTACCAGGTTTACCTACCACCCTGAGATAATTTTAAAAAAGTCTAAATCTGGGCAGCAGACCAACAAGCCAGATCCCAGACACCCCATTCAACCTTCAAAGAAGTTATAGTAAGAGCATTTATAGTGGCTACACCAGACAGGCATAACCTTCAAAGAAGTTATAGTTAGGGCACTTGTAGTGGGTACACCAGCCAGGCATAACCTTCAAAGAAGTTATAGTAAGGGCACTTGTAGTGGCTACACCAGCCAGGCATAACCTTCAAAGAAGTTATAGTTAGGGCACTTGTAGTGGCTACACCAGCCAGGCATAACCTTCAAAGAAGTTATAGTAAGGGCACTTGTAGTGGCTACACCAGCCAGGCATAACCTTCAAAGAAGTTATAGTTAGGGCACTTGTAGTGGCTACACCAGCCAGGCATAACCTTCAAAGAAGTTATAGTAAGGGCACTTGTAGTGGCTACACCAGCCAGGCATAACCTTCAAAGAAGTTATAGTAAGGACACTTGTAGTGGCTACACCAGCCAGGCATAACCTTCAAAGAAGTTATAGTTAGGGCACTTGTAGTGGCTACACCAGCCAGGCATAACCTTCAAAGAAGTTATAGTAAGGGCACTTGTAGTGGCTACACCAGCCAGGCATAACCTTCAAAGAAGTTATAGTAAGGACACTTGTAGTGGCTACACCAGCCAGGCATAACCTTCAAAGAAGTTATAGTTAGGGCACTTGTAGTGGCTACACCAGCCAGGCATAACCTTCAAAGAAGTTATAGTAAGGGCACTTGTAGTGGCTACACCAGCCAGGCATAACCTTCAAAGAAGTTATAGTAAGGACACTTGTAGTGGCTACACCAGCCAGGCATAACCTTCAAAGAAGTTATAGTTAGGGCACTTGTAGTGGCTACACCAGCCAGGCATAACCTTCAAAGAAGTTATAGTTAGGGCACTTGTAGTGGCTACACCAGCCAGGCATAACCTTCAAAGAAGTTATAGTAAGGGCACTTGTAGTGGCTACACCAGCCAGGCATAACCTTCAAAGAAGTTATAGTAAGGACACTTGTAGTGGCTACACCAGCCAGGCATAACCTTCAAAGAAGTTATAGTTAGGGCACTTGTAGTGGCTACACCAGCCAGGCATAACCTTCAAAGAAGTTATAGTTAGGGCACTTGTAGTGTCTACACCAGCCAGGCATAATCTGCAGTCCTGCTTATTATTTGCAGGAGGACTGTATTATATTGTTTGGTACTTTCTTATTAGCTGACCACAAACATGGGAAAATCCACAGGTCACGGAACATTCAGATATTTCTGGGGGTGGTAGATTAAGCATACAGCTTTGGTTATAGGTAAACACGCAAAAATCTTGGCTTTGGAAGAAACGCAGTAAAGCTCAGAAAATCTGCTCTTACCACCCTCTAAAATACTGGACTATCCTGTGACGTCATTTATGGTCTGCTAAAAAGAAAGCACCTATTGTTTAATTTACCTTGTGGTTTCCAGAGCCCCATTGGGGAGGAGGGGGGGGGGGTTCATAAAAAGACCCACAAGCATGTCATAAAAGTCGACTAATTGGAGGCTTCCTTAGAAGTCAGAGTGTGTCTACCTGAGGCAAGGAAGCAACAGTCTGCATACAATTGAGTCAGATCTGTTAAACAGATGTGCATGCAGCACTCAGGTTCTTGAAGAAGACTAAAGTTCAGAAATGGACAAACAACCAGAATTTTCCGCCAGAGTTTATAGCGAGTGAACGGGAAGCAGAAGATATTGTTTAATCATATCTATAATTAATTAATTGATAATTTTCATAATTATCTGCTGTTTCCGTTCATTCTAGGGTGCAGTTGCGGCACAAAGGGCAAATAATTCAACATCCCTGCCTTTGAATGAGAGTCGCTTTCTCTTGCTGGTGGCTACCCTGGAAGAGTTAATTCCCTTGTTGTACCTGACGGTTATAGAAACCTGTCCCGCATCTACTGTGGAGACCGAGGATGTCCATGTAGACAGTATGTCTTTCTTTCATTATTTTCTGTTTATGTTTTGTTTGAACATTAATGACTCGAACAAATTTTTTTGGCAATTAATAGCCAGAACAGTTGGTTGCATGGTCATATTGCAAATGTTAAGGTGTCTGATTTTAAATTCTGTGTCATGTAGGGTGACTTCTTCCAGCTGAGGTGTTTTATAAGGATTCCTCCTACCATAGACAGATTGTCTTTCTAGGCTTATGAATTCAGCCCAAGGTTAATAGATATTGTTTAAAGAAAAAGAAAAAGAGAGAGCATTATTTATATCATCACAAATCGAGCTTGAGAATGGAGGTGGGGGCAGTAACGGCAGCCCTCCGATGGCTACAGGGTAGTAAGGCCAGACCTGTAATTGAAACAATCTATGAAAACAAGTTGACAGTGCAACAAAACAGACAGAATATTGGTACCTGGAGCAGCTGATTCAGCTAATATGAACAGATGGTCTTGAAGCACAGGAGAAAAGACAGGTACTGTCAGTATGGAACTCTTTGTTAGTTACTGAGCTCCCCCTGTAGGTTCCGGGTTCCCTTTGGGGTGGGGGGAATGTAGAATAGACCTACTGCTCCACCCCCAAACAAGTACATTTGCCTAAGAGGGAAGGAACTATCAGTATGCCTACAAATAAGCCATATCTGTAAAACAGACGTGCATGCAAAATTCAATTTATGGAACAGAACCAAAATTCAGAAATGGACAAATAAGCAGAACTTTCTGCTGGAGTTTAGAGCAAGTGAATGCGAAGGAAGAAAGATTATTAAAAATTAAAATTTGTATAAGTCAGGTTCAGAAATGGACAAAGAACTAGAACTTTTCACTAGAGTTTACAACACTGAATGCAAAGAAGATGAAGGCTACTGAGGAAGGGTACAGAGCTTGTATGGGAGAGACCCACTGATTTTTGATTCCTTCTTTAAAGTAAGACACATTTTTAAGTCTGGGATTTTTTCACATGGACTTCTAGTAATTTCCTCTGGTCTCTAGTAAGATTTGAGTTTTTGTTGTTGCACACATAAAAAAAAATTCCTTGGCAGTTGGAAATCGAAAGAGTAGCCTAACATTTTAAGTTAGAAATCTACCCAAAGTATTTCAGGATCCTCACCGGTGCTACAGAGTTTGTGCACTGTGCTGAGATTCTTTGGACTTAGGCTTGAGTTAGAAGTAGAACGGAGCACTTATGGGTTACTACCCTTGTGCCATGATGTTGATCTGTTGTTGAAACCAGAACGAGACATATTTTGTTGTTGGAGTTATTTAGTCATTCAGCTTGACAGCAGCAACTTCCCTTTCCCCATTTTCAATTCAGTGCTCATTCTATGAACATTATCTGTCTGCACATTCAGTGCTCATTCTATGAACATCATCTGTCTGTACATTCAGTGCTCATTCTATGAACATCATCTGTCTGCACATTCAGTGCTCATTCTATGAACATCATCTGTCTGTACATTCAGTGCTCATTCTATGAACATCATCTGTCTGCACATTCAGTGCTCATTCTATGAACATCATCTGTCTGTACATTCAGTGCTCATTCTATGAACATCATCTGTCTGCACATTCAGTGCTCATTCTATGAACATCATCTGTCTGCACATTCAGTGCTCATTCTATGAACATCATCTGTCTGTACATTCAGTGCTCATTCTATGAACATCATCTGTCTGCACATTCAGTGCTCATTCTATGAACATCATCTGTCTGCAGCGACCAGGTTCCCTGAGGCAAACAGTCCTCTTAGTGACCTGGCTGTGATGGCAGGTGGAGAGGAGGCCTTGATTCACCTGGTGACCCAGTTTGAGGCTCACATTGACCAGGAGTGGTTTGAGCCATGGGAGGAACTGAACTGGATTGTTAATAATTTGTGAGTTGCGATATTTCACTAGTTTTGTGTTTCGTTGTTACACTGACAGTTATTTCAAAAGTTGCTTTTATGCTATCCCCCACTCTCTCTTTCTCTCTTCCTCTCTGTTTGTTTGTCTTGTCTCTTTCTTTCTTTCTTTCTTTCTTTCTTTCTATCTTTCCCTATTTAATTTCTTCTATATCTTTCTTTCTGTCTATCCTTTCTCACTTTTCTTCTGTCTCTTGCTCTCTCTCTTTCTCTTCTCTCTCCCTGCTGTCTGTTTGTCTGTCTGTCTGTTGGTCTGTCAGCATGTATTTGTTGTCATTAGAGGTTAAACATGTTTCTTTTTGCAAGTAGATCAGCTGCTATCTATTTTGTTAGAACAAAATATTTTTCAAAAATTGTTCTGATATTCAAAACAATGTTTTACCATAATCAGTTGGCTGTGTCCACATTATTTAAAATATGTTTCTTTTTGTAAATGCTGTCTGTTGCTGTGTGGGGACAGATGTTTCTGTGTGTAAGTGCCATCTATTGTATATTATTGGGTGGGGACAGATGTTTCTGTGCGTGAGTGCCATCTGTTGTCTTTTTTTCGGTTAGGACAGATGTTTCTGTGTGTGAGTGCCATCTGCTGTTTTTTTTTGGTTGGGACAGATGTTTCTGTGTGTGAGTGCCATCTGTTGTCTTTTTTTTGGTTGGGACAGATGTTTCTGTGTGTGAGTGCCATCTGTTGTCTTTTTTTTTGGTTGGGACAGATGTTTCTGTGTGTGAGTGCCATCTGTTGTCTTTTTTTTTCGATTGGGACAGATGTTTCTGTGTGTGAGTGCCATCTGTTGTCTTTTTTTTCGGTTGGGACAGATGTTTCTGTGTGTAATTGCCATCTGTTATCCATTGTTGTGTAGGACAGATGTTTCTGTGTGTGAGGGAAACAGCAATTGTCAGATTGTAAAACAGCCCTAATAAAATTGCTAGGTGGGGACGTCCAGTTGTTTCTGTTTCTAAGCAGCTGTCATCTATTGTTGAGTGCCGACAGATTTTTGTGTATGTAAATGAAGCATCAGTCATCTGTTGTGCAAGGACACAAATGTGTCTGTTTCTTGGTGAAAAACGGTTGTTTCAGGCTGCCCTTTATGTTGGAGGTAACCCTGAGTGTCTGGTGGGGATAGATGTGTAACTGAAGCATCCGTCATCTGTTGTGCAAGGACAATGAAACAGCCAGTTGTGTTTTTGTACTAATTACAGCAATATTTCTGTTTGTAAGTGGAATAGCCAGTATGTGTTTTTGTACGAAATACAGCTGTTTCTGTTTGTAAGTGGAATGGCCAGTATGTGTTTTTGTACGAAATACAGCTGTTTCTGTTTGTAAGTGGAACGGCCAGTATGTGTTTTTGTACGAAATACAGCTGTTTCTGTTTGTAAGTGGAACGGCCAGTATGTGTTTTTGTACGAAATACAGCTGTTTCTGTTTGTAAGTGGAACGGCCAGTATGTGTTTTTGTACGAAATACAGCTGTTTCTGTTTGTAAGTGGAACGGCCAGTATGTGTTTTTGTACAAATTACAGCGATGTTTCTGTTTGTAAGTGAAATGGCCAGTATGTGTTTTTGTACAAATTACATCAATGTTTCTGTTTGTAAGTGAAATGGCCAGTGTGTGTTTTTTATGGATTACAGCTGTTTCTGTTTGTAAGTCGAATGGCCAGTATGTGTTTTTGTACGAATTACAGCTGTTTCTGTTTGTAAGTGGAACAACTGTGGTTACAGGCTGCCCCGTATGCTGGAGGTCACCATGAGTGTTGGCTTGTCTATGCAGAAGGTCATTCATGCCTTATGCCAGTTTGCTTTCCGTCTGTGCAGAACATTTGGCCGTACATTCATGGAAAAGAAGGTAATGGATTCATAAACATTCACTTTCCTAATTTGCTAATTTTGTTATTGTAACTTTATTATAACAGTGATTATTGTTTTGAACTGTTTTAATTAAAAAACATAAGTTCCAATCACCTGTTATTTATTTAGTTTATTAAATTAAAAAAAAATTTTTTTGTTAATTTCTAACATCTTCACATCTCCACATGAATTTGGCTAATAAAAACGTCTTTATCTTCTCTTCCTCTTCTTTCTCTCCTTCTTCTTTTTCTGTGTTTACCCACAAAAGGGCATTCAACATGATCTGTTGTGTTTCACAGCTAGGTTTCGATATCTGCACCTTTTCGCCCAACAATAAAGGGTCAAGTTGAAAAGATCAGCTTCAGTCATAAGGTTTTATCCCATAAGGTTCAGTTTCTCTCCACAGAACTGCTAGCTGCCTGCCTGCTGAGAGCATCACACAAAGCATGAGCACCCTAGCTTCAGCGACAATCCCCAGAGACCTCTGTAAACTCATAAAAGCTAATTAACATTACAACCCTTGAAACGAACCCACAACCTTCAAAGCAAGAGGCAGATGGCTTGACCACTTCGCCGTGGAGACCACAAGTTTTGTTTTTGTTTTTTTGGGCTCTCTTTCAGAAGACCCTGAATGTTACCTTTTTATGACATGCTTGTGTGGGCAAAGTGGGTCTGTTTTGTTTATCTCCAGATTAGAAGCCTGGAGCCCACAAGGGGAAATGGAAATATAATTCCCCTCATGAATCATTTCTCAGAAAGGTCTCCTGCATCTACATTGCCTTGTGAACATGTCTGCCATTGTCACCTGTGTAGCTAGTTACTGTGTATGGATATATCTGAAACTATGGCTTAGGTAGCTGTAGAAATGAGGCAAGGAACCAACAATCTGCATAGAAATAAGCCATATTTGTAAAACGGTTGTGCATGCAAAACACAAATTCTGCAACAAGACAAAATTTCAGACACACACACATGCATGCCCGCACACCCATGTGGGTGTATGCAGACATGAATACGTGCATCCCCACTTAGGCGTGCAGGCCTGTATGCTAAGTGTGTGTGTGTGTGTGTGTATATACTTTACTTACTTTACTTAGTCGCTCCTCTTCTACCTTGGGGTGTAGAGGTTTGCCAGAGAGATCGCCAGACGTCTCTATCAGCAGTTTTCTTTCTGGCTTTGTTCCATTCCAGTCCTCTGTCAGTTAGGAACTGTCGGATGTTGTCTTCCCAGCGCACCCTGGGTTGTCCCGGAGGTCTGGTTCCCTGGTTCTTAGCCTCCCATGCTTGCCATGGTGGCCAATTTTCTCCCATTCTGCATACATGTCCAAACCATCGTAACTGTGACTGATCTACTCAGGTTAGTAAAGGCTGGGTATCAAGATCTTGACGTATTGTCTGATTGCGGACTTTGTCCCTTCTTGTCACTTGGACCACCTTTCTCAGGTATCTCATTTCCGAGGCCTTCAGCTGGCTTCTGTGAGCTGTTGTCATTGCCCATGACTCACACCCATAGGTCAGGACTGGTACATAGGTAGAGCGGTAAACAGCCATTTTCGTCCTCTTGCCAATTTCTCTTTTGCTAAGAAACCCTCGGTTTATGGCTTGGAAGAGTCTCCCAGCAGCTGCTTTTCGTGTAGTTAGCTCAGTCTTAATGCCTCCATTTTGGTCTAATACAACTCCAAGGTATTTGAACTGGTTAACCTGCTCCAGCGCATACTGTCCCATCATGATCTGGTGTTTCTTCTCCTCTCTTGAGATCACCATGGTTTTAGTTTTGGAGACACTGATGGTCATCCCTTTCTTTTCAAGCTCTTCCTTCCAGACAAGTAAGTTGGACTGAAGGTGTGCCTCTGATTTAGCTATCAGGGCCACATCGTCTGCAAAAGCCAGCTCTGATATACAGATTGGTCTCATCTTCCAGTACCCTACAGAGTACTTCTTTGTCTTCTCCTTACAGGTCTTGATGACATCATCCATCATAAGAATGAAGAGGTAAGGTGAGAGAATATCACCTTGTCTAACACCGCTGGCAGTCTTGAATTCTTCTGACTTTTGGTCTGCTGTTCTTACATAATTTCTGCACTTTTTGTAGAAACTCTGTATTGCACTGATCAGGGGTGCTGGGATGTTTTTCCCTGCCAAGCAGTCCCAGAGCTTGTTCCAGGGTACCCTGTCAAATGCCTTTTCCAGATCCAAAAAACATAAGTGCATCTCACTCTTATATTCCAGGGCTTTTTCACTCATCTGTCTCAGTGTGAAGATAAGGTCTTGAGTACTTCGGTTTGCTCTGAAGCCGCATTGGGCCTCGTCCAGCTGTGGCTCTACCAGACTTCTAAGTCTCTGCTCAAGAATTCTAGAGTAACTTTTACCGGAACGCTGAGGAGGGATATGCCTCTGTGGTTTTCACATTGTCTGTTATCACCTTTTTTAAATATAGGTATAATGTGTATATATATATATATATATATATATATATATATATATATATATATATATATATATATATATATATATATATATATATATATATATATAAAATGTACATGTATGTCTTGTATATGTGTGTGGGCATGTATTTTGCCCCCTTCCCAGCAACCCTCACTAGGTACTAGAGTACTGGTCCAATCCACTAGTTTTGGTGCAATTAACATTCCGTAGCCAGTATAACTGGCACAAAGAAACCAGACCACAATTAGAGCCGATAATGCTTTATTTTTTGTTGTTTTGTTTTTCATAAATGGATGGATAAATAGATGTGTCTGAAACAATGGATTTTGAAGCTATTCTGTGTGTGGGCACATCTAAAACTATGGGTTTTGTAGCTACTTTGTGTGTGGGCACATCTGAAACTATGACTTTTATAGGTACTATGTGTATGGACATACCTGAAACTATGGCTTTTATAATTACTCTGTGTGTAGACATGTCTGAAACTGTCTGACTTTTGTAGCCATATTAATTTCACCAGTTTGTGTGGGGTAATGAAAAAGTAACTGTGTTCTTTCTACAATGATACTATGACAGGTCCAGCAAACCGGTAGGGTAGTGAAAGTTCACATAAACATGCTATTAAGTACCGCAGATACGATCAGGAGTATGATAACTTACCAACTCTCCCCACTGCTAAAACACCCAAGCATCACTATGGCACTAAAACGACAACTGATAAATTGCATGTTTATACCAACCCTCTGCTACCAATGCCAAACCTGGTCCCTAACAAGAGCACAGGAGAAAAAGATCACGACGTGCGAAATGAGATGCTTACGTCAGGCTGCCAATGTCACAAGGAGAGACAGAGTTCGAAACGAGAACATTAGATCAATTGTAGGAACCACACCATGCCTGCAATACATAAAGAAGCAACAAATAGAGTGGTTTGGCCACTTGATGCGAATGCAAACCGACCAACTGCCTCTACGAGCATACAACGAACAGCACTACTGCCCTAGAGCAAGAGGCAGACCGAGAGTACGATGGATAGACAATATATCAGAGATCCTGAGGCAACACGGACTAACAACAACACGTGCAACACACCTGGCCCAGGATAGAAAACTGCGACTCCCCACTACTCTGTGAGGCAATTGTGGACAAGACAAGACAAGTCAAGACAATGAAAAAGTGGCATTTAAAGGAGCAGGACTTCGTTTTTAACTTGGTGTGAGGAAAAAGTGGCATTTAAAAGAGCAGAACTTTGTTTTTAACTGGGCGTAAGGAAAAGTGGCATGTAAAGATGCAGAACTTTGTTTTTAACTGGGCGTAAGGAAAAGTGGCATGTGAAGATGCAGAACTTTGTTTTTAACTGGGCGTAAGGAAAAGTGGCATGTGAAGATGCAGAACTTTGTTTTTAACTGGGCGTAAGGAAAAGTGGCATGTGAAGATGCAGAACTTTGTTTTTAACTGGGCGTAAGGAAAAGTGGCATGTGAAGATGCAGAACTTTGTTTTTAACTGGGCGTAAGGAAAAGTGGCATGTGAAGATGCAGAACTTTGTTTTTAACTGGGCGTAAGGAAAAGTGGCATGTGAAGATGCAGAACTTTGTTTTTGACTGGGCGTAAGGAAAAGTGGCATGTGAAGATGCAGAACTTTGTTTTTAACTGGGCGTAAGGAAAAGTGGCATGTGAAGATGCAGAACTTTGTTTTTAACTGGGCGTAAGGAAAAGTGGCATGTGAAGATGCAGAACTTTGTTTTTAACTGGGCGTAAAGAAAAGTGGCATGTGAAGATGCAGAACTTTGTTTTTAACTGGGCGTAAGGAAAAGTGGCATGTGAAGATGCAGAACTTTGTTTTTAACTGGGCGTAAGGAAAAGTGGCATGTGAAGATGCAGAACTTTGTTTTTAACTGGGCGTAAGGAAAAGTGGCATGTGAAGATGCAGAACTTTGTTTTTAACTGGGCGTAAGGAAAAGTGGCATGTGAAGATGCAGAACTTTGTTTTTAACTGGGTGTAAGGAAAAGTGGCATTTGAAGATGCAGAACTTTGTTTTTAACTGGGCGTAAGGAAAAGTGGCATTTGAAGATGCAGAACTTTGTTTTTAACTGGGCGTAAGGAAAAGTGGCATGTGAAGATGCAGAACTTTGTTTTTAACTGGGCGTAAGGAAAAGTGGCATGTGAAGATGCAGAACTCTGTTTTTAACTGGGCGTAAAGAAAAGTGGCATGTGAAGATGCAGAACTTTGTTTTTAACTGGGCGTAAGGAAAAGTGGCATGTGAAGATGCAGAACTTTGTTTTTAACTGGGCGTAAGGAAAAGTGGCATGTGAAGATGCAGAACTTTGTTTTTAACTGGGCGTAAGGAAAAGTGGCATTTGAAGATGCAGAACTTTGTTTTTAACTGGGCGTAAGGAAAAGTGGCATTTGAAGATGCAGAACTTTGTTTTGTTTTTCAAAGAAGGGGTCCGAAGGAGCAGACACCTCACAATATAATGCCACGTTGTGCATCCTTTACAGGATGTTGCAGAACCATTCCCCGGCGTTAGGCTAAGTGATGCCATGGCATTGTATTATTTTATTGATATAATTTGTAGAAAAGCTTTGAATCTTCTTCTTTCTTCTTTTATCCTACTGCTTGTGCACTAAAGCGTCACAGAGAGGAGTTAGAAGGAGTTTGCTACCTTTTGCTAGTTGTGCAGCTTGTGTTAATGTCATATTGCGTTCTTGTAGTGTCTCTTCTACTTCCTGCACCTATCTGTTTCTTTGTGAGCCTCCTGCCTTGTAGCCTGCTGTTCTTTTATGAAACTGCGAGTTATTGCACAAAATTGTTTGTTCTTTTTCTGCATTCACCCCCTGAAGGATTGTTGATAATTTGTGTTGTGGTTTACAGCTACACTGTGATATTTGTGCTTTTCGGCCGAACACAATCATTTTCAGCAAACCTGTAATTGGTCGCCTTTTACGACATGATTTGTTAGGGACAGTGGATCTACACCCAAACCCACTTAAGCGCCCAAACTCACACAGGAAATGTTTCGTAGTTAAATTACAAACTATTATTGAATCTTCTCCTCAGGTGAAGGTCAAGTTTGAGGAGCTGGTGAAAGTTCCAGAGGAAGAATTTGGTAAGTCTTAAGTCTGGACATGTTGTAAAGCCCAGAATAGAATACAGTGATCTCTCTCTTTCTCTCTGGGGGTGTGTTTGTGTGTGTGAGAGAGAGCGTGCGTGCTGAGTGTGTGTATGTTAGCTAGCTGAGGGGTGATTTCTTCTTCTTCTACCTTTTATCTCCGAGTAAGAACAGGACTTCTTCTTAAAGTCCCCTGGTACCAGTAACTGATTGTACCTTGCCTTTCACTTGAGTGTTGAGCATCAGCCAGATCCCCTGGTAACTTCCTGCAGCACCATTCTCAGATTGTAATGATCTCTTTATGCATCCACACTGTTCACCTGCTCCCAAAGGGCCTTCACAGCATCTAGCTTGTCATACATAAACTCACCACCAAGTGATGGCAGAAGCAGCCAGTCTATCTGCCTGCTCGTTTCCTTACACACCAGCATGGCCTGAAGAAATTGTTCAAGTGATGCAAACTACCTGGGGTCTCTGAAGCGATGCTTGCCACTCTGCATGTCACATGCCTGTCTCCAGCTTTTTCAGCATGCTCTGTGAATCAGTTACAATCACAACATGGTACAGTGGATTCTCAATCCAGCAGAATGTAGCAATGACTGCCTGTCCTTCCATTCTCAAAGTAAACGTGATGAGGTTTGAGGTTTAAACAGCGGATCAACATCATGGCACACGGGTAGTAACCCATAAGTTCTCCATTCTTCTTCTTCTAACTCAAGTCTGAGTCCGAAGAAGTTCAGCACAATGCACAGGCTCTGTAGCACCGACGAGGATCCTGAAATACTTTGGGTAGATTTTTAACGCCACATTTTTTGGCCGGGCAGCGCTGTTACGCTACTCTTTTTGATTTCCAACTGCCAAGGGATTTTTCACGTGCGCAACAATGCACACGAGCGTCTGATCTCACTACCCAGAGACCAGGGGGAATTACTAGAAGTCCATGTCCACGTGAAAAAAATCCCAGCCCTTACCAGGGATTGAACCCGGAACCTCTAGCACTCTAGGCGGACACCATGCCTCGAGACCAAAACGTTGTGATATCATATGCCAGGCTTTGCTGCACTAAGCGACGTACATTTGCTTTCGCTATGACCCCCTATGCACTTTGTCTGCCTCTCAACACAGAGCACAACAGTTGATAGCCTGAGCAAATGAAACCAACTGCATAGAACAGTTCAAGAAAAATCTCCAAGTGAGGCGTTGGGCCCTCGGCCAACTTGTGCCAGATCCTTTGTAGACAAGTGTGTTGTAGGAGTCAATTAATAGGGGTCTTCCTTCGAAGTCCTAAGCGACAAGGAACTACCAACTGCACACAGATAAGCCAAGTAACACTGATGTACACTAAAAACGCAGGCTTTGGCACAAAACCCCAAAGTCCAGATGGTCAAACAACCAGGCCTTTCTGCCAGAGCTCACAGCCGGTGAACAAAGAAGAAGAAAAAATATTTCCTAGTGAAATCACAAACAGCCAACAGATACCGGAGGTGGTTCTGCAACATCCTGTCGAACAGATACTGAGTGTGGTTCTGCAACATCCTGTGCAACAGATACTGGGGGAAGTTCTGCAACATCCTGTGCAACAGATACTGGGGGAAGTTCTGCAACATCCTGTGCAACAGATACTGAGTGTGGTTCTGCAACATCCTGTGCAACAGATACTGGGGGAAGTTCTGCAACATCCTGTCCAACAGATACTGAGTGTGGTTCTGCAACATCCTGTCCAACAGATACTGGGAGTGGTTCTGCAACATCCTGTGCAACAGATACTGGGGGAAGTTCTGCAATATCCTGTGCAACAGATACTGGGGGAAGTTCTGCAATATCCTGTCCAACAGATACTGGGGGAAGTTCTGCAATATCCTGTCCAACAGATACTGAGTGTGGTTCTGCAACATCCTGTCCAACAGATACTGGGAGTGGTTCTGCAACATCCTGTGCAACAGATACTGGGGGAAGTTCTGCAATATACTGTGCAACAGATACTGGGGGAAGTTCTGCAATATCCTGTCCAACAGATACTGGGGGAAGTTCTGCAATATCCTGTCCAACAGATACTGAGTGTGGTTCTGCAACATCCTGTGCAACAGATACTGGGAGTGGTTCTGCAACATCCTGTCCAACAGATACTGGGGGAAGTTCTGCAATATCCTGTCCAACAGATACTGGGGGAAGTTCTGCAACATCCTGTCTAACAGATACTGGGGGAAGTTCTGCAATATCCTGTCCAACAGATACTGGGAGAAGTTCTGCAATATCCTGTCCAACAGATACTGGGGGAAGTTCTGCAATATCCTGTCCAACAGATACTGGGGGAAGTTCTGCAACATCCTGTCCAACAGATACTGAGTGTGGTTCTGCAACATCCTGTGCAACAGATACTGAGTGTGGTTCTGCAACATCCTGTGCAACAGATACTGGGGGAAGTTCTGCAATATCCTGTGCAACAGATACTGGGGGAAGTTCTGCAACATCCTGTGCAACAGATACTGAGTGTGGTTCTGCAACATCCTGTGCAACAGATACTGGGGGAAGTTCTGCAACATCCTGTGCAACAGATACTGGGGGAAGTTCTGCAATATCCTGTCCAACAGATACTGAGTGTGGTTCTGCAACATCCTGTGCAACAGATACTGAGTGTGGTTCTGCAACATCCTGTGCAACAGATACTGAGTGTTGTTCTGCAACATCCTGTGCAACAGATACTGGGTGTGGTTCTGCAACATCCTGTGCAACAGATACTGAGTGTGGTTCTGCAACATCCTGTCCAACAGATACTGGGGGAAGTTCTGCAATATCCTGTCCAACAGATACTGGGGGAAGTTCTGCAACATCCTGTGCAACAGATACTGGGTGTGGTTCTGCAACATCCTGTGCAACAGATACTGGGAGTGGTTCTGCAACATCCTGTGCAACAGATACTGAGTGTGGTTCTGCAACATCCTGTCCAACAGATACTGGGAGAAGTTCTGCAATATCCTGTCCAACAGATACTGGGGGAAGTTCTGCAACATCCTGTCCAACAGATACTGGGGGAAGTTCTGCAATATCCTGTCCAACAGATACTGGGAGAAGTTCTGCAATATCCTGTCCAACAGATACTGGGGGAAGTTCTGCAATATCCTGTCCAACAGATACTGGGGGAAGTTCTGCAATATCCTGTCCAACAGATACTGGGGGAAGTTCTGCAATATCCTGTCCAACAGATACTGAGTGTGGTTCTGCAACATCCTGTGCAACAGATACTGGGTGTGGTTCTGCAACATCCTGTGCAACAGATGCTGGGTGTGGTTCTGCAACATCCTGTCCAACAGATACTGGGGGAAGTTCTGCAACATCCTGTCCAACAGATACTGGGGGAAGTTCTGCAACATCCTGTCCAACAGATACTGGGGGAAGTTCTGCAACATCCTGTCCAACAGATACTGGGAGAAGTTCTGCAATATCCTGTCCAACAGATACTGGGGTAAGTTCTGCAATATCCTGTCCAACAGATACTGGGGGAAGTTCTGCAATATCCTGTCCAACAGATACTAGGGGAAGTTCTGCAATATCCTGTCCAACAGATACTGGGAGAAGTTCTGCAATATCCTGTCCAACAGATACTGGGGGAAGTTCTGCAATATCCTGTCCAACAGATACTGGGGGAAGTTCTGCAATATCCTGTCCAACAGATACTGGGGGAAGTTCTGCAATATCCTGTCCAACAGATACTGGGGGAAGTTCTGCAATATCCTGTCCAACAGATACTGAGTGTGGTTCTGCAACATCCTGTGCAACAGATACTGGGTGTGGTTCTGCAACATCCTGTGCAACAGATACTGAGTGTGGTTCTGCAACATCCTGTGCAACAGATACTGAGTGTGGATTTGCAACATCCTTGTGCAACAGATACTGAGTGTGGATTTGCAACATCCTGTGCAACAGATACTGGGGATGGTTCTGCAACATCCTGTGCAACAGATACTGGGGATGGTTCTGCAACATCCTGTGCAACAGATACTGGGGATGGTTCTGCAACATCCTGTGCAACAGATACTGGGGATGGTTCTGCAACATCCTGTGCAACAGATACTGGGAGTGGTTCTGCAACATCCTGTGCAACAGATACTGGGGATGATTCTGCAACATCCTGTACAGAATACACAGCTAACTTTAGGGGCTCTTCTTCCTTTCTCTTTTGTCATCCAACTATTACCAGGTTGTAGTCCAGTGTCATGATTTTCTATATTTGACTTGTGCTTCTTGTGTGGCTTGGGTTGTGGATTTGTTCATCTTTTTTACAGGTTTCAGCTACGTCATTTATCTATCTCTTTCTTGGTCTACCTCTCACCTTCCTCCCTGGTGAACTACTTTAAAAAGTCTTATGTGCAGTTTGATCTGGCTGCATTCTTACTAGATGGCCGAACCATTTCACATGTGTCTGTCAGTATAACTCAGACACTGTCTCTTATTCCGACTTTCTTTCAGATGCTGGTAAATGCCATCCTGTCCCTTCTATAATTTAACATTCTTTCTTGTGTAGCAGTGGTTGATTACACCACTGCTAGCTTGCTTAGCTTGTCACATGGTGGGGCAGGAAAGAAATTGACCTGGTTAATGCTCGTCGCCTCCCAGGTGAGCCTTTGCCCTGCTAGCCTGAAACCTCTTGGCTTCAGTTTTTGGCGTGCACCACCAGGAGCTTTGGTTGACCTGGGTGGTCTCTGAGTCATTGGCAGGCTATTTAATTTCACTTTTCACCCCTCAGAAGAGAAATTAGACAACCTCATCACTGCTGTCCAGTGTGCCAAGGGCTTGGGCGCACATTGCATGCCACACACACTTTGCAAGTATATAATTGCATCTTAGAACACTACCTAGTGTTAATTGTAACTGAATCGAAGAGTGGGAAGAGGTTGTTCTTTCTTTATGTAGAACCAGGTGACAGATAATGTGGATGACTTATGTCAGAGATTTGACACACACTTCCCTTTTCTTCACAGATTCCCTAGTGAACCAGGGACATTTGCCAGTCACTACTGCCATTGTTGCTGTGTATGCCAGGGGTGTTCTCATGGCTTTTGTTACAGTGAGTATTCTACATCTGTCACTGTTCCTGTGTGTACTACGTGTATCTTCTTAGATCATTTGTCACAGCACAACATTGTATACCTAGAACTCTACCTGTATGTACTGAGTGTGTCTTCTTAGTCATTTGTCACAGTACAATATTGTATACTTATTGTGTACTAGAACTGTACCACTGTACACTGTGTCTATCTTCTTATGTCATTTGTCACAGTACAGTATTGTATTTCTAGAACTGTACCAGCATGTACTGTGTGAATCTTCTTATGTCATTTGTCACAGTACAGTATTGTATTTCTAAAACTGTACCAGCATGTACTGTGTGAATCTTCTTATGTCATTTGTCACAGTTCAGTATTGTATTTCTAAAACGGTACCAGCATGCACTGTGTGAATCTTCTTATGTCATTTGTCACAGTTCAGTATTGTATTTCTAAAACGGTACCAGCATGTACTGTGTGAATCTTCTTATGTCATTTGTCACAGTTCAGTATTGTATTTCTAAAACGGTACCAGCATGTACTGAATGAATCTTCTTATGTCATTTGTCACAATAAAATACTGTATACCTAGAACTATACCAGCATGTGTTGTGTTGTGTCTTCTTATGTCATTTGTCACAGTAAAATATTGTATACCTAGAACTTTACTCTATGTGTTTTCTATAATTTTTCACAGTACAATATTGTATGCCTAGAACTATACCAGCAGGTTCTGTGTGTGTGTCTTCTCATGTCATCTGTCACAGAACAGTCATTTGTCACGGTACAGTATTCTGTACCTAGATGTTTACCAGCATGTACTGTGTATCTTCACATGTCATTTGTCACAGTACAGTATTCTATACATAGAACTGTACCAGCATATACCATATGTCATTTGTCACAGTTAGTTTTTTCACACAGAGAATTACATTGTACCAGCACACGGCACATGTTTTCATATCATTTGCCACAGAAAACTGCTTTACTGTGAAAGATCCTGTCAATCTTTCAAGCCTAAATCTTGAGAGAAAGTGTGTTTGAAGTGGGGGGGGGGGGGGGGGGGGGGGGGGGAGGGCAGAATCAGTAGAGATTGATAAAGTCATCAACAACACCATTTATTGACAAACAAAAGATCAAATGGTTTGGTCATTTAGTGAGAATGCAGCTAGAACAACTACCAACGCAAGCGCTACACATGAGATCTGAAGTGAAAGCAAGATGCTGCCCTAGGAGAAGATGGACTGATGACATTAAAGAGCTTCTACGTCGACACGGAATGAAAATAGCCGTTTCTGGCCATCAAGTAATGGATCACCAAACTGCTCCTCCCTACAATGCCTAATGGAAGAAGTGGAAATTGATAATGATAAAAAAAATTATCTGAACTGAAATTGCTACACATGTTATTTGCCCCTGAAGTTGTGTTTCCAGGAGTGATAATTGATCAGTTGATGCCTTTACCAGGATGAGGATAAAAGCCGGCTGAGCCAGTTTCTAAAGAGAGTTTTGTGTACATTAGCATTGCTGCAGACATCGTTAGACAGCTTGAAGGCGGCACTGATTGAATTGAGGTGAGTTCTCTGTTCTGTGGCAAGAGTTATGTGCGTGTGTGTGAGAGAGGGGGAGAAAACAAAACAATAGAAAAATATACATAAGAGAGAGCGAGCAAAGAAACCAACAAACTTTATTTTCAAAGGGTCACAAATTGAGCACGCAGGCCCGTCTTAAATTCGGCGCTTCCAAACACCCATCTTTTACACAGCAGTTGTATGTTATCAATAAAGCATGTTATGTTCATATAAAAATATGCATATTATGAAGATCAAGAAAGAACATAAAAGCATTGGTAGTAAAATGCATGCGCACACGTGTGCGCGCAAACACATACACATGCCAACCCACCCACTTACTCTCCTAAACACACACACCCACCCACCCTCTTACACACACACATATACACACACATACACACCCACCTTCATGTATGCATACATACAAATACATGCATACATACATATGTACGTACATACATACACACACATACATACACTCATACATACATACTGACACACACACACACACACACACACATACCCACCCACTTACTCTCCTAAACACACAGGCCTACCCACCCACTCACTCTCTTACACACATACACACCCACATACATGCATGCATACATACAAATAAATACATACATACAGACACACACACACGCACGCACGCACATACACACACATACATACATGCATGCCTATATATAAATACATTCACATACACACCCGTGCACAAACACAGAGAGGAAGACACAGTGAGAAATGAAGAGAGAAAGATAAAAGGCTATATAAATTCAGTAAACATAAAGAGACATAGGGTGAGAGACAACAGTCGGAGAGAAAGACATAGGTGTAGAGAGACAGACAGAAAGAAACATTAGCTAGAGATACAAAAGATAAAGAAATGACAAGAAAGAAAAAAAGGCAATGGGAGAAAGAAAGTCACATACATTAAGTCTTCTTCTTCTTCTTCTTCGCGTTCACCAGCTGTAAACTCCGGCGAAAAGTTCTGGTTGTTCGTCCACTTCTGGACTGCAGCCCTGTTCCAGAACCTGAGTGTTGCGTGTGCATCTGTTTGACAGATCTGACTAATTGTATGCAGACTGTTGGTTCCTTGCCTCTCAGGCAGATGCACTCCGACTTCAAAGAAAGCTCTCAATTAATCGACTCTTACGACATGCTTTTGGGTAGCTATATTAAGTAAAAGGATAGAGAGAGAGACAGAGAGTGGGAGAGAAAGACACAGTAAAAGAGAGACAGAGAGAGACAATGAGAATCACATATATTGCAGTAAACTAAGATCACTGATATTCCTTGTTGCAGTGGAAACCCATCCAACCATGAACTCCTGCTGTCAGTCTTGTGGGATGGTGTTACTCATTCATCAGCCTTGGTTAGAGCTGCAGCAGCATCTCTGTTTGAGGTCAGGTTTAAAGCTTTGCCTGTTTTTCTTAAAGTCCATGCCATGTGGTGTTAGTAGTCATGTCTATCCACAACCTTCTGTCTTGTGAACTTTCAATAAGCCATGATACAGATGTTCTCATCATTCGTCTATAAAACCACATCTCTGCAGCTTCCAAATAAGTTTTCACCAATTTACCAACTGTCCATGATTGACTTCTGTAAATCAAGAAATAATTTATATAGCTTTTAAGCATTCTATTTCTCATCTCAGTTGACAAAGAAAGATTGCATTAATATTCATGTCATTAGAGATAACTAATCACATATCTGCTGAATTGAATGTGTTTGATTAAAAGGTGCACATGTCGCTGCCTAGCTGTAAACTGTTATGCAAATGTACCAGTCACCCTTTTATGGGGGCAAACACGAGAAAAAAATACTGAAGTCAGTATTTGAATGTTATGGAAGATTGTTTTTGCTGCAACAAGGAAAAATAGACTTAGGATTAATGGTATCAGGAGGAGAGTCAGCACAGAAACAGTACCATAAGTTATCAGTAGACAACAGATCAAATGGTTTGGCCATGTAAAAAAGATTGGCAACAGACAAGGCACCACAGAGAGCAGTGTTTTACAGATACAGTGGTAACACATCCAGAGGTTGACCAAGCAGAAGATGGACCTCAGAAATATCAGAGAGACTGAAAAGTACTATATAAGAAGTTAACAGAAGGGCCCAATCCAGGGGTCTCTTCCTGCCCTGACGCTGCGAGGCTTTTCAGGAGTAGAGAGAAGAAGTTCTGCTGTTTAGCACTGAATCTGGGAAATTGGTTGAATAAATAAGAAAGCGCTTGAAGGCAGTACGTCCCTGCCCTTTGTACACACCGCCCATCGCTACTATCGATTGAGTGGTTCAGTGAGGGCCTCGGATTGGTCTCGGTCTGGCATGCAAGTGCCGGCACCGCTGGCTGAGAAGAAGCTTGAACTCGATCGCTTAGAAAAAGTAAAAGTCGTAACAAGTTTTCCGTAGGTGAAATTGCGGAAGGATCATTAACGGTCTCGCCTCTCTCTGCCACTGCCGGTGAAACGGCGCGGCTGCGGATTTGGGCAAGAACTCGATGCAAACGTGTCTCCTTCGCATTCGTCGGTCGGGAACCACATGAAGCGCCGCCACGGCCGACTGGCCGCTACCCTGTTTTGGGGTGCCTAGCCTCACTTCCTTGATACGAAACACGCTGGCAGCAGGAGCCCTAAAAAGGCCCGGCGGGTTGTCTGGCTCAAAAAGCTAGATTAGCTACATTTGACCTCAGTTAGGCTAAATCTAGTCACCTCTACTTGTACCTGGCCCCTGTAAATGCCAGTAAAGCCCATGTCTGCAGAGACTTAGTCTCAAAAAGCGTAGTTACATTCCAACATTCCAAGGGTCCTGCGTGCACCTAAGCCATGTTTAATAGGCCAGGTTATGAGTATAATAACTAAAAATAGCGTTTAGGGGAGGGGGTTTCTTGTAACCACAGTGGCTTTATAAAAGCATTGTGATGTTAAATTTTTCCCATAAGCCCCACTGATAGAGGTCACAGGGTCATGCATGGGTCACCTAATACATTTTTTTTTTAACACCCAGGGGAATATGTTCCGTTGAATACTTCACTATATTCGTGTTTATTGGTTGTTTCTATGCATCCTTATGTATTTTTAAAAAAAAACCGGAATTGAAAATGTTAGTAAACAATTTTCTTTTAAATTTATTAGCGTTTTGAATAAGATGTTTAAAAAAAAAAATCCCCTGAAGTTTTTATGGGTCCATGAAATTTTTTTGGTCACTTTTGTATTTGCCTTCAGGGAGCGAAAGGGTTTAGTAATCCCCCCCCCCCCTCCCTCCCCAGCTGATGTGTATCTTGTGTTTCAGCTGATGTGTGTCTTGTGTTTCAGCTGATGTATGTCTTGTGTTTCAGCTGATGTGTGTCTTGTGTTTCAGCTGATGGGTGTCTTGTGTTTCAGCTGATGGGTGTCTTGTGTTTCAGCTGATGTATGTCTTGTGTTTCAGCTGACGTGTGTCTTGTGTTTCAGCTGATGTGTGTCTTGTGTTTCAGCTGATGTGTGTCTTGTGTTTCAGCTGATGGGTGTCTTGTGTTTCAACTGATGTGTTTCTTGTGTTTCAGCTGATGTGTCTTGTGTTTCAGCTGATGTGTGTCTTGTGTTTCAGCTGATGTGTGTCTTGTGTTTCAGCTGATGTGTGTCTTGTGTTTCAACTGATGTGTGTCTTGTGTTTCAACTGATGTGTATCTTGTGTTTCAGCTGATGTGTGTCTTGTGTTTCAACTGATGTGTGTCTTGTGTTTCAGCTGATGTGTGTCTTGTGTTTCAGCTGATGTATGTCTTGTGTTTCAGCTGATGATCAAGGGAGTTAATGACACGCTGGTGTCCGCGCGGGTAGTTCCTGCCCTGGTGACTTTGTCGAATGATCCAGACATGTGAGTATTCCTTGATCATTTTGTTCTGTTTGGCATTCCTGATAGATTACATCTCTGACATATGCAGTGGTAGTTAGTGATTGTTTTATGATAAAGAGAGAAAGGAGGGGCAGAGGCCGGGGGGGGGGGGGGGGGGGGGGGGGGGGGGGGGTTGTTTGTGTGGCGCTTAGACAGGTGGGTTAGGGAGAAAGAAAGGGGGAGGAAGATATAGTGAGGAAGTTGTAGAGAGAATGAGAGAAAGAAAGAGGTAGGGATAGGGAGACATGGATAAAGAAAGGAATTAAAAATAGAGAGAGAGAAAGAAATAAAATATATTTAAAAAAAAAAAAGAATGTTATTCATGCCTTCATGATAAATCTAACAAATGCTGGAGTTGGTTTGCAGCAGCAGCCTCTACAGCTGGTTTTTCAACTGGCAGCCCGCAAGCCACATCAGAACAGCAGACACCTAGCAAGTGGCCTGCGGATCATTGCCACTTGTAATGTGTTAGTTTCATTTTCGAGCCAGGACATGTGGGGGTACAAGGAAATGAGCAAGCTGATAGACTTGCAGGTAAAGCTGCTGTGAAAGCCGGACAAGCCATGGACCAGGCTGATATACTGAATGCTCTACGAGATTCAAGACGTTTGCTTGAACCAGTTAAGAACTGTGAATCTGCAACCATGATCAGAGTGGGAGAACAGTTAGTTAAATTTAGTGTCGCCAAACAAGAACAATACGCAGGTAGCCAAAGTAGAATAATAAACCAACACAGAACTTGTGTTGTCAGACGCTACACGCGGCGGGATTTACTGAGGAAGGGATCTGAGCACTTATGGACTGAGTGGTTCGACGTGCAATAAGGATAATCTGTCTACTAACTAACCAACTAATGTATTATTGATCTTTTTATGCTGGGGCTGAGGCCTCTGGCCCTTGACTGTCCCATTTTCAAAATGCTGGCCCTCTTGAGCAAACTTAATTGAACGGACCTGCTCTGAAGGATACAAATCTAACTTTCACATTATCAGTATTAATAGAAAAACTAGCCGCAAATATACACTGAGATATATACTAGAGCTGTACCAAATAGATGATTATCACTATTTGGCTGAAAACAAATAATGGGACCAACTTTTCGGCCGAATGTGAATACCAATAGTGTATAGTGTATAAAATAGATCTAAAAAAAAATTCATAATATAGTTTGAACTTTTACTTCACAAAATGTAGTACAGAATAGTAATCATTTAAAAACATTTCATGTTTGGCATCCTTCGGTCAGTCTGTGGTAACTAATAATTAGGAATGCAAGTATTCTAAGTATTATAACAAGTAATTCGCAGTGGCTGCAGCAGCCGTCATGTATGCAGAAGCTGGTGTAACTTAACCACTATTCGTATTTGGCCCGACCGCAAGTATTTGGCTGAATACTTATTAGGTCCACTATTCGGCCCCGAAGCAAATACAAAGCGAATGTGGACACTTTTTTGGAAGCTGTGGAGATGCAGTTTTATAGACGAATGATGAAAATACCCTGGACAGATAAAAAGAGTAATGAAGATGTTTTATAAAAAAATAGACTCACGAAGAGAACTGATTGCCCACATCAGAAAGAGACAATCTAAATTCTTTGGTCCTGTGATGAGAAGGAGAAAACTGGAGTACATCGTGACAGTAGGAAAGTTGGAGGAGAGGCAGAGGGAGACTGAGGAAAAAAGATGCTGGACAGTTTGACATCATGTCGTGGAGGATCAGCTGTGTCAGTGTTGATCGTAAGTACACGAGACAGAAGGTTGAGGATAGGCATGACTACCAACGCCACACAGCATTGACTTGAAGAAAAATGTACATTTGTTTTGTTCTCTTTGTGCATATAAATTGTGATGTTCTGTGTTTGTCCTTTCAGATCTGTCAGAATTGCAACCATTCCTTCTCTTGGGGCAGTCATAGAGAACATTACAATACGAGAGGTGAGACTTTAGCTATCATCGTTTACATTATTGAGAAAACAAATGATAAATTCCTGTGTGGATTCCGGGTCCTATTGTGGGGAAAACAAGAATAAACACACTGCCTCCCAAACAAGCATTTATAAAGAAGCGACTATTTGGGGGCTTCCTTCAGAGTCGGAGTACATCTGCCTGAGAGGCAAGGAACCAATAGTCTGCATACAAATAAGCAAGGTCTGTAAACTGATGCACACACAAAACTCGGGTCCTGGAACAAAGCCAAAATTCCAGACATGGATGAACAACCAGGTCTTCCCACCGGGGTTTACAGCCATGAACACAAACAACAAGTCATTTTTCTTATTTTAAATCTCTCACACACATCCAAAAAAAAAAAAAACATGGCTTTGGAACTTGAATCTTATACACCTATAGAACATACAGGTTTAAGGGAAAATATACTGACATTCTACAAAATATGAACTTCACACACACACACAAAAAAGGCTAATTAACAGCATCCTGCTTCAAACATCAGTAGTCCCTGCATGTTTTCCAGGGCCCCATTTTGTGGGGGTAGGGGTAAGGAAGGGTTTTTTTTTGGGGGGGGGGGGGGGATAAATAGACCCTCCCACATGCAATCAACCAACCAATGACTCTTCCCTCTTCTTCACTGTTCACCATTCAAAGGGTGGTTGGCACTTTGTGTGGTTTACAGCTAGGCTGCAGTATCTGTGCACCTTCCAGCCCAGCACATTAAATTTGTGCAAAACCTTAATTAAAAAGTCAAGTTAAGGACCCTTTTCCAGGCCTCCAGGCGTATAGGGCTAGACCTGTATTTTATAGACCAATCGGCACTTGGTGGGGGGTGTGGTCAGCATCACGCCACGGCCATTTTGGGGGGAAAAACATCCAGCTTTGTCAGGACCCGAACCCACGACCTTCCAATCCGCAGGTGATACACCTTGGCAACCCCCAGAACCCCAATTAGTTGCCTTCTATGACAGGCTTGTTAGGCGGCCATGGGTTTATTCTTTTTTTTTTCGCCGCCCAAACTTGCGACCATGGAGCCGGAGTGTAACAATGTTGATTTTCCCCCCGCCCAAACTTGTGACCATGGAGCCCGAGTGTAACAATGTTGATTTTCCCCCGCCCAAACTTGTGACCAGGGAGCCAGAGTGTAACAATGTTGATTTTCCCCCGCCCAAACTTGCGACCATGGAGCCCGAGTGTAACAATGTTGATTTCCCCCCGCCCAAACTTGCGACCATGCAGCCCGAGTGTAACAATGTTGATTTTCCCCCGCCCAAACTTGCGACCATGGAGCCCGAGTGTAACAATGTTGATTTCCCCCCGCCCAAACTTGCGTCCATGCAGCCCGAGTGTAACAATGTTGATTTTCCCCCGCCCAAACTTGCGACCATGGAGCCCGAGTGTAACAATGTTGATTTTCCCTAATGACAATGCTAAGCAGAGACCTGTTTGTTTCGATGCACTAGGTCCTGGACCGCGTCTATATGCAGCTGCAGATGTTTTTTGACGAGCCCGCATACAGGGACCAGCATCCAGTTCTTGTGGAGCTCATCAGGACCTTGTCGCGTTGTGGACCCAGCGCTGAGCCAAAGTTCAGAGATGAATGTGAGTACCCTTAGATGTTTGTGACCGTACAACTGGTAGTTGTGTATCTGATATTATAAGCTGTTTGTGACTGGACAGCATGTGTACGTGAATCATCACATTTTGTGGCTGTGCAAGTAATAGCTGTCTCTGAGGATACACATGAGTTTTTTTGTGGTTGCACAACTGACAGCTGTATATGTGATACAAGTGAGCTGTTTCTGATAGTACAGTTTATAGCTATGTACATGATAGTGTAAGCAGTTTGTGTTGGTAAAGTTAATAGCTATGTACATGATAGTGTTAGCAGTTTGTGATGGTACAATTCATAGTTGCATACATGATAGTGTAAGCAGTTTGTGATAGTACAGTTTATAGTTGTGTACAATATTGTAAGCTGTTTGTCCATGCCGATTGGTCTGTAAAAATATGGGCGCTCTTCCCATGTACCCGATACGCCTAAAGGCGTGAAAAGGGATCTTTACTTACTTTACTTTAATAATTAACAACTAGGATAGATGATTAGAGCCTGGGTGAAAACCTTCTTTTCCATCAAGGGATAATTATGTTGTATGGCAAATGAGAATCTGTTTTGTTGTTGTTGATCTGTGTGATCAAGTGTAGGGGTGTAGGCTGAAATATCTGGCAAGCTCAGCTCCAAGTGATTTGGCGGCAGGCTGGTTTTGGCAGAATAGCACCAGAAAATACAGACACAGACTATGACAAATACTAGACACACAGATCCTAGACCAGAAAGACACTAGACCAGAAAGACAGTAGCCAAGATAGACATACACCAGACAGACAGACAGATGGTAGACAAGACAGACAACAGAGAAAACAGTAGATGAGACTGATATAAGACCAGATAGACTCTAGATAAGCAGACTCTAGACAAGACAAAAAGTAACAAGACAGGCAGACATTAGACATAACAGACACCAGATAAATAGACACTAGACAACAAAGACACTAGACAACAAAGATACTAGACAACTAAGACACAAGACAACAAAGACACTAGACAAGAAAGACACAAGACAACAAAGACACAAGACAACAAAGACACTAGACAACAAAGACACTAGACAACAAAGACACTAGACAACAAAGACACTAGACAACAAAGACACTAGACAACAAAGATACTAGACAACAAAGACACTAGACAACAAAGACACTAGACAACAAAGACACTAGACAACAAAGATACTAGACAAGAAAGACACTAGACAACAAAGATACTAGACAAGAAAGACACTAGACAACAAAGACACTAGACAACAAAGACACTAGACAACAAAGACACTAGACAACAAAGACACTAGACAACAAAGACACTAGACAACAAAGACACTAGACAACAAAGACACTAGACAACAAAGACACTAGACAACAAAGACACTAGACAAGAAAGACACAAGACAACAAAGACACTAGACAACAAAGACACTAGACAAGAAAGACACAAGACACTAGACAACAAAGACACTAGACAACAAAGACACTAGACAACAAAGATAATAGACAAGAAAGACACAAGACACTAGACAACAAAGACACTAGACAACAAAGACACTAGACAAGAAAGACACAAGACAACAAAGACACTAGACAACAAAGACACTAGACAAGAAAGACACTAGACAAGAAAGACACAAGACACTAGACAACAAAGACACTAGACAACAAAGACACTAGACAACAAAGATAATAGACAAGAAAGACACAAGACACTAGACAACAAAGACACTAGACAAGAAAGACACAAGACAACAAAGACACTAGACAACAAAGACACTAGACAAGAAAGACACTAGACAAGAAAGACACAAGACACTAGACAACAAATACACTAGACAACAAAGACACTAGACAACAAAGATAATAGACAAGAAAGACACTAGACAAGAAAGACACAAGACACTAGACAACAAAGACACTAGACAACAAAGACATTAGACAACAAAGACACTAGACAACAAAGACACCAGACAACAAAGACACTAGACAACAAAGACACTAGACAACAAAGATAATAGACAAGAAAGACACAAGACACTAGACAACAAAGACACTAGACAACAAAGACACTAGACAACAAAGACACTAGACAACAAAGACACTAGACAACAAAGACACTAGACAAGAAAGACACAAGACAACAAAGACACTAGACAACAAAGACACTAGACAAGAAAGATACTAGACAAGAAAGACACAAGACACTAGACAACAAAGACACTAGACAACAAAGACACTAGACAACAAAGATAATAGACAAGAAAGACACAAGACACTAGACAACAAAGACACTAGACAACAAAGACACTAGACAACAAAGACACTAGACAACAAAGACACTAGACAACAAAGACACTAGACAACAAAGATACTAGACAACAAAGACACTAGACAACAAAGACACAAGACAACAAAGACACTAGACAACAAAGATACTAGACAAGAAAGACACTAGACAACAAAGATACTAGACAAGAAAGACACTAGACAACAAAGACACAAGACAACAAAGACACAAGACAACAAAGACACAAGACAACAAAGATACTAGACAACAAAGATACTAGACAACAAAGACACTAGACAACAAAGACACAAGACAACAAAGACACTAGACAACAAAGATACTAGACAAGAAAGACACTAGACAACAAAGATACTAGACAAGAAAGACACTAGACAACAAAAATACTAGACAAGAAAGACACTAGACAACAAAGATACTAGACAAGAAAGACACTAGACAACAAAGATACTAGACAACAAAGACACTAGACAACAAAGACACTAGACAACAAAGACACTAGACAACAAAGACACTAGACAACAAAGACACTAGACAAGAAAGACACAAGACAACAAAGACACTAGACAACAAAGACACTAGACAAGAAAGACACAAGACACTAGACAACAAAGACACTAGACAACAAAGACACTAGACAACAAAGATAATAGACAAGAAAGACACAAGACACTAGACAACAAAGACACTAGACAACAAAGACACTAGACAAGAAAGACACAAGACAACAAAGACACTAGACAACAAAGACACTAGACAAGAAAGACACTAGACAAGAAAGACACAAGACACTAGACAACAAAGACACTAGACAACAAAGACACTAGACAACAAAGATAATAGACAAGAAAGACACAAGACACTAGACAACAAAGACACTAGACAAGAAAGACACAAGACAACAAAGACACTAGACAACAAAGACACTAGACAAGAAAGACACTAGACAAGAAAGACATAAGACACTAGACAACAAATACACTAGACAACAAAGACACTAGACAACAAAGATAATAGACAAGAAAGACACAAGACACTAGACAACAAAGACATTAGACAACAAAGACACTAGACAACAAAGACACCAGACAACAAAGACACTAGACAACAAAGACACTAGACAACAAAGATAATAGACAAGAAAGACACAAGACACTAGACAACAAAGACACTAGACAACAAAGACACTAGACAACAAAGACACTAGACAACAAAGACACTAGACAACAAAGACACTAGACAAGAAAGACACAAGACAACAAAGACACTAGACAACAAAGACACTAGACAAGAAAGACACTAGACAAGAAAGACACAAGACACTAGACAACAAAGACACTAGACAACAAAGACACTAGACAACAAAGATAATAGACAAGAAAGACAAAAGACACTAGACAACAAAGACACTAGACAACAAAGACACTAGACAACAAAGACACTAGACAACAAAGACACTAGACAACAAAGACACTAGACAACAAAGATACTAGACAACAAAGACACTAGACAACAAAGACACAAGACAACAAAGACACTAGACAACAAAGATACTAGACAAGAAAGACACTAGACAACAAAGATACTAGACAAGAAAGACACTAGACAACAAAGACACAAGACAACAAAGACACAAGACAACAAAGACACAAGACAACAAAGATACTAGACAACAAAGATACTAGACAACAAAGACACTAGACAACAAAGACACAAGACAACAAAGACACTAGACAACAAAGATACTAGACAAGAAAGACACTAGACAACAAAGATACTAGACAACAAAGATACTAGACAAGAAAGACACTAGACAACAAAGACACTAGACAACAAAGATACTAGACAAGAAAGACACTAGACAACAAAGATACTAGACAAGAAAGACACTAGACAACAAAGATACTAGACAAGAAAGACACTAGACAACAAAGATACTAGACAAGAAAGACACTAGACAACAAAGATACTAGACAAGAAAGACACTAGACAAGAAAGACACTAGAGAAAATACACTAGACAAGACTGACATAAACATGATAATACACATAAACAAGACAAGCAGCAACAAGACAGACACTTGACAAGACAGACATAAACATGATAATACACTAGGCAAGACAAACAGAAACAAAACAGTACACTGGGAAAGACAGACATAAACATGATAATAAACTAAGAAAGACAAACATTAACAAGACAGACACTAAAAACGACTGGCACTAGACAAGACAGACATAAACATAATAAACTAGATGAGACAAACAGAAAAAAGATGGACAATAAACAAGACAGCCATACACTAAACAAGACAGGCATAAATATGATAATACACTAGGAAAGACAAACATAAACAAGAGCAAATGACATAAACATGATAATAAACTAGGTGAGACAAACAGAAAAAAGACAGACACTGGGCGAGACAGGCATAAATATGATAATACCCTAGGCATGACAAACAGAAAAAGATGGACAATAAACAAGACAGCCATACACTAAACAAGACAGGCATAAACATGACAATAAACTAGTTAAGACAAACATTATTAAGACAGTCATAAACATGATAATAAACTAGGTGAGACAGACAAAAACAAAACATCATGATAATAAACTAGGTGAGACAGACAAAAACAAAACATCATGATAATAAACTAGGTGACACAGACAAAAACAAAACATATATAAA